TCTAATGACATTTCTGTGGTTTTTAACTTTGAAAATTTGTTCTTTTTAGTTATACATGACAGTAGAATGCATTTTGGCAAATTATACATACATAGTGTATAACTTATTCTACTTAGGATCCCACTCTTGTGGTTATAAGTTATACTCAATGTAGTTTTGATTTGTATTTCCCTGATGGTTAAAAATGATGAACATTTTTAAAGACATGTTGGCCATTTGTGCTTCTTTTCAGAAGTCTCTGTTCAGTGTGTTTGCTCATTTATTTAGTGGGTTATTTACTTTTTTGGTGTAGTTTTTGAGTGCTTTATATAGTCTTCTTTAGTTGATTATGAAATAGGCGAGCTATGTGTAAAGAAGACAATGAAATTCATTGAAGTGTCTCCTTGCTTGAAAAGGCAGAGTTTGATATTACCTTGGGGTAGGACATTGTCTCCCAAAAGCCCTATTAGAACGAATATCATAGCTAAGAGGCATGACCTCAAACCATTACCATAGCCAGGCATGGTGGTGCACACCTATAATCCCAGCAACTTGAGAGGCTGAGGCAGGAGAATTTTAAGTTTGAGACTAGCCTCAGCAATTTAGCCAGACATTCAGCTAGTGAAATTCTGTCTCACAATAAAACAAATAAATAGGACTGGGAATGGAGATCAGAGGTAAACAGCTCCTGGGTTAAACCCTCAGTACTCCCAGAAATTATCATGTATGAACTCCGTAATCAAGCACATTCATCAGATGAGTCCAACAAATATTGGTGTTTTATGGGAATAAGATAGTAAGCAGTTTTGATGACTACAAAGAACACAGATGTGAATTGAGGAGGACAAATACAGAGTCCTTCCTTCATGAGCAGTCAGTTCCAGGAGGCCAGAGGACAGACTCAAAGGTAGGGGGAAGGGCAGGTCAAGCAAAGGAGAAAGCATTGAATAAGCAACTACCTTGGATGCAGACTATAGTAAGTATTTTGACATGCATTATCTCATTTAATCACCCAACCATAATGCCCTAGTCTATTCCTGGTGCTATAACAAAATATTCAAGGATGGGTAATTCATAAATATCAGCAATTTATTGCTTGCAGTTTTGAAGGCTGGGAAATCCAAGATCAAGGCACTGCCATGTTGGTGTCTGGTGAGAGCTTTCAAGCCTTCTTTTCTGCCTCCAAGATGGCATCTTGGATGTTGCTTCTTCTGGAGGTCATGAATGCTGTGTCCTCACATGTCAGGAGGATCAGAAGGGCAAACAAGGAAACAGCTGCTCCCTTAAACCTCCCTTATAAGAGCACTAATCTATTTGTGAGCTCTCAAGACTTAATCACCATCCAAAAGGCCTATTCCCTTAATACCATTATCTTTGGGTTTAGTTTCAACATATGAATTCTGTTTGTTTAGTTTTTTTGCATGGTGCTGGGGATTGAACCCAGTGCCTCATGCATGCTAGGCAAATGCTTTACCACAAAGCCACACCCCAGGTCTCAACATATGAATTTTGGAGAGACATATACATTTAAACCATAGCACATAATAAGGTAGGTACCATTATTATGCTCATTTTTATAGATGAAGAAATAGCCTTGGAGAGGCTAAGCAACTTGCCTAAGGTCACACAACTAATGAATGGGATTGAGGGGCAGAAATTAGTTATAAAAATCTGAGTTATTTTTAATAAACTACACTGTTCATATAAACCCACAGTATAGAGAGGTGCACAAATTAACTGAGCAGCAGTAACTGGTAGCGATGACATAGGACAGTCTGCAGAACTGAATAGCTTGTGATAGTGCCGATGAGGGGGACAAGTCCACAAATTGGTTTCATGTAGGTCATCTATCTCATCTTCATCCCCCCAAAAACCACTAAATCCTACCCCTGCTCTCAGGATCGTCCCTCACCATCCTGGAAGGTGAAAGACTAAGTCCTGTCCTTGACCATAGCCCCAAGCCCCAAGGGCAACAATGCACCTCAGCCTGCGGCCTGAGAGCAGGGAGTGTGACTAGTTTCCTGGGCTTTCAGAGACAGAGTATCATTTTCCTGAACAAGAGACAGTACAGAGTTCTGTTGCAGTTATTTATTTATTTGACAAACAGTTACAGGGTGCCACCTATGTGCCAGGCACGGTGCTAGGTGCTATCATTCCAGTGATCTTAAAGTTGGATAGATGGAGACGAATAGGAAAGCTGGTCATTTGAACATGATATTGAGATATATAGGAGTCTGCAAGGGGTCCAAAGTGAGAAATCAAAGTTGCACTCCTTGCCTCATGGGGCTTGATTTCAGGGATACAGTGGTGTTCAACCTTCTCTTCAGCACAGCAGGTCCAGAGAATGACATGACAATACAGAAGTGCTCTCAACAGTTTTCAAGAGTAACAGGCCATGAAAGGTACCACCCATAGCTGGCACGAAGAGGGCAAGGTCACTGTGGGAAAAAAGTACCTATGAGGAAAGAGGAGATCTTAGACTGGGACAAGGAAGATTTATACAATTTAGTTAAGTGGAGAGAATTTAGGTTTTAAAATGATTCTCCCAAGTGTTCAGCTCTTTAAATGTTGCCACAAATAAATACCTTCAATTTACTGCTGCTGTGCTTTAATTTGTATCATTTACTTGTATGTAAATGCACATACATGTGTGTGTTTTGCAGTGTTGGGGATTAAAATCAGGGCCTTGTGTGTGTTAAGCAAGTGCTCTACCACTGAGGCACACCCCCAGGCTACTTTTGGGGCATTCCCCCCCTTACATGCACAGTTTGAAAACTAGGTAAGGTGGGGAAAAGGATAATAGGAAAAAGTAGAATAGATCAGTGCTTTAACCCAGAGACACACAATAGAACTTTCTGCAATGATTGAAAATTCTATTCTGAGATGATCAATACAGTTGCTACTAGCCATATGTGACTCTGCTACAGAAGTATGGCCAGTGTGACCGAAGAACTGAAATTTTAACTTCACTTAAAACATGGTTAGTAGCTACTGTATAGGAAAGCACTGCTGTCATCACTTAGCTGTAGCCCATAGAGACCCAAAGTAAAGGTGTGGTGCAATTAAATATGAAGTCTTCTATTAATCTAGCTATGGGGAGTACTTATTTGGGTATGCATGTGCTTGTTCAATTAAGGGTCAGAGCACCAAATTTCCTAAAAATGAGGGACAGAAGAGCAAAAGGAGCAAGGGGTTATTCCTGACTTGCACAGTACTTTCATGCATAGTACCTCATTCAATCCCATAACAGCCCTGAAATGGGTAGGGAAGAGACTATCATTCCCACAGGACCCAATGAATCTAGGGGATAACAAGGGCCTATAGAAGATAATGGTGGAGCCTAGGGGCTAAGTGTTTCTCTTCCTGATTGGACACTTTCCAGGGAACAGTGAAGGAAGAATGATCTCATGTTACCTATGCCCACTGCTCACAGTCTGGGTCTCCCAGAATAAGAGAGAGTCTTCGCTTCATATTCCCTTTTTCTACCTGATTGTGGTTAATGGGATCATGAACCATTACCAAAAACTGTATCATATTCCCTTCCCTCTTCCTTGATTTAGGCAACAGGGATGCATTTGAAAACTTCAGTCATATATTCAAAATTACACATTGAGCACCTATCATATCCCAGGCACTGTTCTGGGACACAACCATAAACAAAATAAAGATCTCTTTTGTGGCACTGAAATTCTGGTAGGGGGAGACTAATAATAAATAATGTATATACTGGATTTTTGTAATGTTCTATAATAATACACCATGGTTTCTCATGTCTTTTTATGACACACATAAACACTGTCCAATGTACGTTTTGTGCAAAACTGGACTTGCACTTCAAGCAAACTGCCTGGCTTGCTGAAAGGTGAAAACACCTTTTGAATTAGTCTTTTAACATGTGTTGAGTGCCACCTATGTGCAGAGTACGATATTGGGGACTTTGGAGAGATGCAACTGACTGAGAGGACAGGGTCCTATCTTAGGGAATTCCCAGTCTGATGCAAGAGGCAGCCCTTTCCTTGGGAGCTCGCAGACTGCAGAAGGAGCTAACAGTGTAGTCTGGAGAGGCAAACTTCAGGACCCACTTCAAAAGGGGAATCCCAAGTACATGCACAACCAATTCAGCCTAGACTGTGTGGAATTGGGTAAACTAACCCCTCTTATGATGATGGGGAACTAGATAGGGGACAGCTTCAGGGAACAAGAAAAGGGACACTGTAGGAGCTGTCCCATGTCCCAAGAGTGAGGAAGAAAGGAAAGACAGCCTCTACTGGATTATTGTTACCTCGGGAAGACTCTGGATGAGATGGGATTTGCGGGACTGCTGGCAAAAAATGAAGAGCTCATGGGCAGAGTGAGGTGCAGGTATCCCAGGTAGAGGGTACCTCCTGGGTGATGGTAGGAGGAATGAGGGTGCTGGGTGCAACCCTTGGCAATCACCCCAATTCAAATTCAATTGAAGATGAAGAAGAGAGAGGACCAAAATTCTGGGGGGTGGTGTCGGTTTTTGACCAAACCCCTGGAGATGCATAGTGGCAAGAGAAATGACCATGGTCAGGATCTGAGGTGTAGGGTCTGAGTGGGGGCAGTCCGGATAGGGGTCCTACCCTGAATGCCCAAGTTTCCTGACAGCTGTTAAGGAAGTGAGGTGAGAAAGGGTTAAGTGTGCCCCTCCACCGCCCTAAATGCTTCCTGTATTTGAAATCCTTTAGGTCTTTGCAAACTCTCTGGCCCCTGGCCAGGCTGGCATTGTCCGGGGAGCGGTTGTGGGTTGTCCGAGCAGTCAGTCGCTCAGTCTTTGTTATGGGGCCACCTCGGGGTTCCCTCTTGCACCCGGCCTGAGGCTGCAGAGTGCGTGCCTGGAGGGGGGCGGTGCGGGAGGCTCGCTTCTCTCCCTCTTCCTGGCCCCCCCTCCAGTCCTCCCGATGACCACATGACCAAGTGGGCTCGTGGCCAAGCCACAAGCTACAAAATGCAGCCCCTGGAGTGAGCGGGGAGCATTCTCGCTGGCAGCCTGGGCCAAGAGCAGTACAGCCGCGGCCGAGCAAAGCCAGCCACTTGGAAAGAGATCGCTGCAGAGCCTGGCTTCACGGTGCTGCCCCGCGGCGGCAGAGAGAGGCTGCAGGAGAGCCGGCGCGGCGGCTGCAGACTGCGGCGCACTCACTCACGCGGCCCAGGAGCCCCGCGAGCCCCGCTCCTGCACGCGCCGCGGCTTGCGCCTTCCCGTGCCTCAGGGCTCCCAGCTTCTCCCCCTTCCCGCGGGCTCGTCAGGGCAGCGGCGACTCGAGGAGCAGCATGAATCTGCGGCTCTGCGTGCAGGCGCTGCTGCTGCTCTGGCTCTCCTTGACTGCGGCGTGTGGAGGTGAGTGCGCGCCCTCCCGCTCACCCGCTCTTCCTTTTGCTTTACCCCGCTGCAGCCAGCGCGCTCCCCTCCCTCCGCCCCACTCGCGCTCTCGGCCTCCCAGGGAGCCCGGCGCGAGCCGTGCAGGAGCAGCCACACGCTGGCTGCGCCGAGCGGCAGATTGACAGGGCGTCTAGAGCCAGGGGCAGCCGGCCGCGGGGACCGGTTCCTGGGGTATGAGGGTTCCGAATGGTCTCGAGCATCACCAATCTATAGCCTTGTCCCTTCTGACTGCCCCTCTCAGTCCCGAGAAGCTAAGGGCCCCAGGCGTGCGCCTCGTGTCCCGTACCCTGCACCCCACGTGGTGGGGACATGAGGGCCTGCCCAGCTCACCGCGTGGGTCAGAGGAGGGAACTGACCTGAGGTAGGTGGGCTGGTCTCCCGCGTTGAAGGTCTTCTGGTTCCTGGAGGTTAGGGGCCGCAGGCCACTGGGGATGATGTGCCAACATGCCGACGTGACACTTGTTGCATAGGCAAGAGCTTGGGGCGGGGGCGGGGGCGGCGGCGGCGTGGATCCCAGCTATTGCTACTTTCAGCCTACAAGTGAGCAGAGGCGGCCTCCCCCAGACTGCCCCCACCGGTCTTCTCCATTACTCCAAGGTCCTCTCTGGTCTCCTCCGGGCTCCCCAGCTCCTACACAGGACGCCTTCCCCACAGCCTCCATGCTACTTCCATATCCTGGCTTCCAGCCTCCACTTTTTCCCAGGCATGTGCATGCTTCTCCTTCACCCCTGTGTCTACAAGCACCAAACCAGGAAACAGGCACTGACTTGGCATCTCCATGCAGGTCTGGGGGCGGGCGTTCTTTTGCCCTTACCTGTATCACACCCCTACTTGGTAATACTTGGCACTAGCTTCCCTTGCCTGCCCCAGACCTGGTCCCCATCCATGCCTCTGCAGCTCCTGCCCAGGTTGCCTGTCCTTTGTGCGTCAGTGTCTCCCTGGGCTGCCAGCTCTCACCTCCAACTGCCACAGTCCTGTGATCTGGCTGTCACTGCTGCCTGCCTGGCACCAGAAGGAGAAGGCCAAGACTAGGTGGATTAATGCCAGTGCCAGGGCTGGAGTCACAAGAAAGTGAGGTTGGAGGGAAGGAGAGGGCAAAGGCGGCAAGTTTCCTAGAGGAAGAACATAGGGCTGGACTTAATTCCAAACCCTCCAGAACAAGAAGGATGGCTTACAGCCCAGGAGCCTCTGGGGGTCCAGCCAACTCTGCCTACCTCTTTATATAGGCAACCTCCTTTCTCTGCTCTTGTTCTTTGGCACTGCCCTGGTCCCAGGAGCACTGCTGAGCTTCTTAGGAGGATGCATTGGTCGGGTCTGGCACCTCCTGACTCCAGCTGGATGTCCAGTGATCTCCCTCTTTAAGACTCCAGCACTTGGACTGGGGTTGTGGCTCAGTGGTAGAATGCTTGCCTAGCATGTTTGAGGCACTGGGTTCTATTCTCAGCACCACATATAAGCAATTAAATAAATAAAGGTCCATCAATAACTAATAAAAAATATTTTAAAAAGACTGCAGCACTGAGTCAGCCACCTCCTTGGGAAGAAGAGAGTAATCTTTCTTCTCAGAAACTCCTGTCAGGCAGGCAATGGTTGGAAGGGAACAAATAAAGACACATCACAGGGGCCCACCTCCCAGGAGCTATCATCCAGTAGAGTTGGCAAGACAAGAAACCACAGGCAAATGGTCCATGGTATTGCCTTCAGAGGAGAAAAAGAATAGGTGCAGAAAGGGTATCCTAGAGGAAGCTGAGGTTTTGGGATCAGCACACTCAATGCTCCCTGTGAAGCAACAGGGAGACCCTTGGCCAACAGAAACCACTGAGCCTATGAGGAGTCTGGCTATTGTGGCAGTACTGGTGATGGGAAGAGCTGGTTTCAAAGGAAGAGAAGTTGGTCATGCTGCCAGAACACTGTGTGCTTCTGGCCCAGACCCTGCCACTTCTTGTTTTATTTGTCCCTTTTTCATATGTCATCTGCCCACCCTGATTTGGGGACATTGTTGCCCTCATATTTTGCTTAAGCCTAGCACTGGAAACTTCCAAAGCTCCCGCTGCTTTTCCACCATTCGACTTACCCTGGAGCCAAGGAGGGTAGGTGGCTACTAGCCAAGGGTCTAAGTATGCATGCCCCATTCCTCCTGCTTTCTGTCCTGCCGTAGAAACAGGGACCCCAGAACTATCTTGTCCTTGGCCCAGATTTACATGCACTCTCTTCAGCTAGAGTCCCTAGTAAAACTTCCAGGCCTGAAAACTATGCTTTCTCCTCTTACTCCAGATTCTCTCCTGACATGGGATGTTCACCCCCACCCCTAAATCCCTTCTTCCCCTCAACAACACTCCACCACTGCCTTCTGACCTGGGATACGACTGCTCTTCTGAGTCTGAGAGCTGCTGGGCCCAGGCCAAGTGTCCCTTGGTCTTTGAGTACCTCCCTTTCTCCCCTCTGGCTTCCCCTTTCCAACTCCTGCTCAAAATATGCAGTGTGAGGACAGCCTACTGAATTCCCCCCAGTGGGGGAACATCTCCACTCCATTCCCAATCCTAAGCACTAAGTGCCCATGGAACCTGAGCCAGACCTCTCAGAAGCAGAGGACTAATACAGGTCAAGTGGAGGGCCAGGCTGCCAGAGCCTGGTGTGTCCAGGACTGCAGAGCTGGCACAAGGAGATAGCACAGGGTCCTGGAGAAAACGACTGGGGTGAGAGGGTGGGCAGACAAAGGAAAGTTGCCTCATCTCAGAGACAGACACAGTGCTACAGAACGGCAGAGGCAGGGGGTACATTGCCAGCAGGGTCCCTACCAGAGCATGAGTGTAAGCTTTAAAGCAATCACAAGACAGGCCAAACCACAAGAGGGAAAACAGGTGCATCATTCTTGGTGAGGCTGGCAAGTTCTTGAAAAGTTGCATTTACCCCTTTGTACATTGGCAGGGTTGGAGTTCAGATCACATGAAAATCAAATCCCATTCTCCCCTGACTGTGGTTCTCAGTGTGGAGATGCTACAGATTCATGACTCAGGGCACTTCAGAGAGCAATGGCTCTAATCCCTCTAGGTTTGAGATTCTTTGAAGGATTGCCCATCTCCCTGTAAGTAGCACATGAGTTGGAAGAAAATATTGAGGTGAACTTGGGAGGCCCCTATTTCTAAAGGGGAGTTCTTTTGTACAGACAGGATCTCTGCAGTGTTGAGAAATAATAGTCTCTAATTTGTCCCTTTGGACAGGACAAAGGTAGAGTTTCAGGTGTCAGCTTATCTGACGGTGAGCCAGACTCAGCATCAAAAGTAGGAAAAAGGTGGGTGAATGGGTTTAGGGTGCAGGAGGAGCCTATAGACTTCCAGCGATGCAGAGGACAATAAGCCTCCATCCAATGGGATGCAAGAGGCCAGGGGTTTCAAGATGGCTATTCTCCAGGGCCTGGTTGATACTCAGTGAATTCAGGGTAACTCTTCTCTGTATGCCTAGAGTCTAGACATCTTCCTGACCACCGTCTGAGCCACCATCTCTGCTTCCCATCCTGGCTTGTGACCTCTCTTCCCATGGGACCCTTCCCAGCCCTCCCTTCCTGAATGTCACAGGCACAGTCTAGGATGCTGAACATGTGAGGATGATATTCTTCCCCTTCTGGCTCTGTGCCTCTCTTCCCATGCCTGATCACCCTTAGGGTTCGGTGACCTGTGTTATTGCCCCTGCCCCCAAGTAGTTGAAGGCATGGATTTTAGAACCAAGGTTTCACTTACATTTTAAGACCCTTAGGGTCCTTCCTTTATGCCTGGACACGTGCTTAGCACAGTTATCACTGCCCTGAACCCTGAGTGTGTCTCTGATAATAACTACTCATCAGCATCATTCAGATCCATTCTCAGTGTGCAGAGTGAGCCTTGCGGGAACCCCAAAACTCAGGTCATAAGCTGGAACTGCTGGGATGGGAACTTAATGAAAGTCCTTCCCTCTTCTCCCTCTATCCCCAGTGCCAGCCTCTTAGGAAATGGCAAGAGGAGACCTCTAGATCAGGTAGCGTAGAAGCAGCACCCCCACTCCAGCTATATCTCCTATTCCAAAATGCAAATATAATTTTCTTTTTGGTACTGAACATTGAACCCAGGGTCATTTTAACACTGAGCCACATCTCCAGACTTTTCTGTTTGTTTTTATTTTGAGACGGGGTCTTGCTAAATTGCTCAAAGCCTCCATAAGTTGTTGAGGCTGGCTTTGTACTTGTGATCCTCCTGCCTCAGCCTCCCCAGCTACTGGGAATACAGGCATATGCCACTGTGCCCAGCTAATTTTTGTTTTAATTCTCATAGGTTATGAGTTTAGGGGCTGAGTTGACACATTAACCCACCTTGATCATTAGCAGGGAAGTGTGGCTCATTAACCAAGTGACCCTAGTTAACAGTGGGCCTGGTGATTTTTCTTGGAGATAAGGAAGGTGCAGGGTTAGAGATGAGCATATGTGGGGTAGGCATATGTGTCTGGATGTGAGCAGGAAGAAAGAACAACAGGCCCCATAGGCTGGGCAAAGAAGGCCCAAAGGACAAACCTCACCTGCTTTTGGCCTAAGAGGAAACTAAATGCCTGGAAACTGTGTGCAAGCAGAGGAGGACACAGGAGCCAAGGAAGGAACCAGAGCATGGGGGTGTTGTAGGTGGGGTTGGGGGATGAGGAGCAGCCAATGGGAGGCTATATGGAAACCGTGAGCTATTGGGGATTCCTGAATGAATGGCAATGAGGCTCAAGAGACAGGATATAGCTGAAGGCAAATCTGATGGTGTGATGGGGAGAAAGACTGGTATTCATTATCATCAGTGGCCTGCAGACTGGCCCCATACTGGGCATTGCACAAGCACCCTGCCCATCTGCCTCTTCCCAGCACCATCTTATTTCATCCCACAGCCTGACTCTGGTGGCCACGCTTGTCTCTGGGTGCCAGCTAGGCTTCCCTGGCTGGACTTTAGGCTCCGAGAGAACTGGCAAGAGTGCCTTCTCCCTCATTGTGCCCAAGTACACCCAGCACCACTTGGATTCCATCGTTGGGACTCAGATTGGCATCAGGGAAGTGATGCTGAGCCCCATGTGGGCAGATGTCAAATGGAGCCTGGGAGAGCAGAACAGAAACCAGTTAGGGTCAGAATGGAAGGAATTCATGGGAGATGTGAGCTGGGAATGACAAGAGATAGGATATTGGCAGGGAGGTGCCATCTACCACAGCCTACTCTCCTGGTGCATACACATGCTGTTGGTGCATAGACATTCACTCATCCATCCATCCATCCATGCATCCACCCATGTACCATGCATGCAATATTTATTAGCCTCTAAATCTGCTCACTAGGCTGAGTCACAGATGGCCCAGCCACACCCATGGGGCAGTCTCAGGAGCAAATATGAGTCTGAAATGCCTAACCACTGATGAGATGCCTATGGGTGAGGCATGGAGCTCTAGTATTCATAAGTGGGTCACCTTGCCCATCAAAGGATGTAGGAGTACAATGACGTGATGTTCAGGATTTGCTTTAAAATACCATAGCCAAGAAAAAAGAAAAGGGACAACTGGAGCATATGTGACTCCATCTGGATAGCTATTGAATCTGGGTGATGGATCCATGGAGGGGGAGTCATAGTAATGGTGTCTGTCTGAAATGTCTAAAGTACACCAGTTACTGGGGCACCATGGTTACTGCCTCCTGTACCCCAGCCAAGTACAGGCCTGATGCCCCAGAATGCACCCCCCAATGACTTTCCAAAGAAAAGAACTTGTTTGTGCCTGTCAAAAACATGATACAATCATCAAAAATATATAGAATCAGCTATTTCTATGGCAAGATGTGAGTAGTGCATTCTGTTTGTCCCAGGACAGTATGTAAATGGCAGATTTTTCATTGAGATAGAAAACAACAACAACAACAAAAAGCTATGAGGAGTGCCAGCCACCTCATGGAGAAATTGTCCTCTCCTGTGGGCCTATGGTCTGTGGGACCCTTTCTTGGCCGTCTGCCGTTTTCATCAGCCTTCCTAGTTAACAGCCCTTTTCCTTTCTGCAGTGCCCCTGATGCAGCCTCCTGATGGGAAGGAGCTGGAGGAAGGCAATGTTCGCTACCTGGTGCAGCCCAGGGCTTCGAGAAATGGACCCTGGCAGGGAGGACGGAGGAAATTTCGCCGCCAGCGGCCCCGCCTCTCCCACAAGGGCCCCATGCCTTTCTGAAGCAGGTATTTACTGGATCCCCTGCTCAGTGGGCATTGCTCAATGGGAAGGGGAGGGACAGCCCTAGAAATTAATAAGCCTGCTTCTTACCACTGGCCAAACACATCATCTAGCCCTTCCATTTTACAGAGGGGAAGACTGAGTCCCAGAGAAGGGCTTGACACTTGGGACTGATGTTTGGACTTCCCAACAGCTGAGTGTTACATCCCCTCTACCCTGTTGCCTGGGGTTGGGCAGGCTGACAGCTGGAGAATACTGGAAGTCCCAGCAGCCCTTAACTGGGAAGAGGTGCACAGATTGTGCCTATAGGTGTCCAGGTCTAGGAGTGAGAACGAAGGAGGCAGAGAGCAGGAAGAGAGCTGTGGATGTGCTGTTCCAGAGCTTCAGGTATCAAAGGTAGCTGCAGAGAAAGCAGGGCCTAAGGCTACCCCTGAGGCCTGGGCTGTTACCATCCCTCTGTAGCTGGGACAGAGGGACATCAACTCAGAGCCTTGGACTTTAGGTTCAGGGGTTGAAGGGGTTGAAGGCTGTCCTTTCCTTTCCTGAGGTGGGGGAGTCCTTTGACCTGGAACATGTCCATGATTTCTCTTGTTACTTTTTGTTTCTTTAGGACTGAAGGGGCCCCCAGGTGCCCACCCCCTGCAGTTCTCTCTACTCCACAGTTTGATCAGCTTCTCTGGAGCCCTCACATCCATTCAGCTGTCGTCTTGCACCTGTTCTAGCTGCTGATAGTTCCAGCTCTTCTAGCCCACCAGCTTCCCCTAATGGTGTGGTCCTGCTCCTCATTCAGATGATTCCATTTCTCTCATAAGGATCCATGTAGTCCACCTTTCCGGCCCTTCCCTGGACTGATTTTGGAGACCCAGCTTCTCCCTGGCCTGCTGTACACCCTCATCCCTACTTTACCTATTTAATGCCCCCACCCTTCAGCTAGCTCTTCCCTCCTCAAGTCTGCCCTGGAATCTGGATGGAAACACTCTCTTCTTCAGTGGACTCCTGCAGATCTGTATTTTCTTGTCAGTCGGACCCTCACTCAGCCACCAGAGAGGAATACAAAGATGTGCAATGAGAGATTCTAGTTAGAGGGGCTGGGTGTTGGGATCCAGAGAGGGTACATTGGGGGAACTGAAATGGGGAGGAATGGTCTTCTGGTGAAGTGGGGCGAGGCACTGCAAAACAGGAATAGCCTCTTCCTCATCCCTGTGTTTGGCTTCATTAAGGAAGAAAAGAAGGAGAGGCTCTTTGAAGTACTTTGTTACTTCTGTCACCTTACTCTGTCTCCTAACACATTCTTTCTCTCTATCCCCTACAACTAGTTCAAGCTCCAGGTCACATGGGGAGGGTGCTGGGCCTAATGTGGCTCTGTACCCTCCCAGGAGTGAATGCCAAATAGGAAGGTTGTTTTTGCCAAGAATCCCAGAATATCAGAGCTGAAAGGACCCTTGGAGATCACTTAGCTCAACTTCTTTATGCCAAAGCCTGTGAAAACAGAGTCCTGGAGTGAGGAGCGACCTGCTCAGGGTTACTGCTGAGTCAGAATGGGGACCAGGTCTCCAGATTCCCACTTGATGATGTCCTCTTCCCTCTTGATGATGTCTTCAAAACAAATGTAGTGCCTTTTGCTGGGGTTAGGGCTGGGAGTGTCTGGGAAGGGAAGGGAGAGGCAAGCTGGCTGTGAGCTGCCCCGTTGTGGGGATGGAGCTGCTCCCACCTCTCTTGCCTTCCCCTGCTGCTCCATTCCCAACCTGGGCCATATGGTTCCATAACTGGCCAGTTGCCCCTCTTCTGACAGCACTCCCATGCCTGGTGACCTTTAACAGGGGAGCTCAGGCACTGGGATTACTGTTCAGACCCAACATTGGTTGTCAAATGCCGGAAGTAGCCTTAAATCATTGAATCCAATGGCCTCCCCTTCGTGTTGATTGGACCCTCTTTCCTAGTGGACTTCCTTGGGGAGCAGAGGGCAGAGAATGACAAAGAAAGGGAAGGAAAAGAAGGAGAGATGGGAGGATGTACAGGTAGGGTTGCACTCCATTCACCAGGGCTTATCTTCCCTGAGGGGCCTCTCAGCCCTTCCCTCTTGGGGCCCTCTTGCGTTTGCCTGTGCAGATTTCCTTCCCAAATGCTTTCCAAGAGGGAGAAAAGGGAAGACAGAAGCTTGATGCCCACTTACATATATCTGGGGCAGGGGGAGTCAGGGCCCCCCAAGTCCCACAATAACCCCAATGTTCACCTGTCCACCTCCCCTCAAGTCCTTTCCCCTCTGCTGCTGCTAATGCTGCTGCTGTACTGCTGCTGCCGCCATTGCCTCAAGGCCCACCCTGGGGAGCCAAGCTGGGCACAGCCTCCCCACCCCACCAGACATGGAGTGGGGTCTGGCCAGTGTCCACAAAGTCTCTTCTGCTACTGGTCTCCCCAGTAGAGACCTTGCCTTATTCTTCCTTCCTGCATCTCCTGCCTCATCAGCCTGCCATGACCTACAGCCAACCCAGCCCCATGGGGAAGGGAAGAAGAGAGGGAGGATGGCTGAGAGAGATAGGAGACAGAGGGCAGAGGAGGATAGTGGGTGGGCTAAGGGGGCTCTCTTATTTAAAGTGGTTGTGTATGATTCTTATACTAATTTATACAAAGATATTAAAACCCTTTCCATTAAGAAATTGTCCCCTTCCTGTAATTGTGTTTGCTGTGTTTGTAAAGATTGTTCTGTGTAAATATGTCTTTATAATAAAGAGTTAAAAGCTGAAAGTTTGCCCTTAGTCTTGGAGGTCATGTTCAGAAGGGGCATTTCCCCCACACAGGGCCATGGTTGTCCCTGTGCCCACAGATTGCACATTCAGGGAGGTAAGTGCTTGCATCCCAAATCAGTTCTAGGTCAAGTGTCCTGAAACCGACTTGCCACAGGCTCACAAAAGCAATCCAAGCATAATGGCCAGCTCACACGAAATTCAGCCTGCTTTTTAGTCTTTGGCATCTGTTTGGATGTCCTAATTTTTGTCTGGCAGCAGTGTCATTTAAAGGATTTTTAATAAAAGCAATTTACTTAACATGCTGATTACAAGTGGGATTTCTATTAAAAGTTTTGTATTGGTGGGTGTCTTCTATTTTATCTACTTTTGAACACTTTCGGGACTTTTTAGCCAGTTTGCCTTTCTTTAAAAAATGTTATGTTTTCAGCAATAAATACAATTGGTAATGACTTTGCATGTATCATTTTATGTTTCACAAAGTGGAGTTGTAAGATGAATGAGATAGACTGAAAAATAAAATGCAAGGAGTTCAATACAATTCCACCCCATCTGTCTCACTTCTTCATGCTTGTTGTCAAAATGTCAATATCTTCCAGAACAGAAAGGAACATTGGGTACATGTTAATTTTGTTAATAAACGCATTAGGTGCACACAGATGTACACTATGCAGAGTAAATCCCAATGAGATGAAGATGGGAGTGATCAAAATGCATGCATTTGATAAATCTTCTGGGGGAATTCTATAGATTTGACAAGTATTTAGTGCCACAAATATATAACTTTAAAGAAAGTGCCTTCAGACAAAATTGCTAAAAAGTCATAAAACCAATAGGAGATAAAATAGAAGCCACCCATAAGCATATAAAACTATCTCACCATTGACAAAATGCTGCAAATTATGACATAGTGATTTAAAAATATGACATGTTTGAAGTGTTTCTTAGGAAAATTGGTGCAAAATGTCTCATTTTAAAATTACTAGTTTGACTTTTGGACAAACTAGTCATTGGAGGAACTGGGTTTAGGCAGAGGTTTTGGGTGGGCTGGTTTTACTCTGATTGGCCTGTTATTTCCCTAATCACCCTCAAAGCTCTAATTTCACATGAAACCAAGAATAAAAGGGGTGGGAGCAGGGCAGAACAACTTAATACTGACCCATAAGCATGCAGGCCTTTAACAGTTTACAGAGCTCTTGAAAAATCTTAACTCATCTTCCTAACAACTGAGCCAAAAACCTCACTATCAGATCCCAATTTTTAAAATATATATATTTTTAATTTTTAGTTGTACATGGACACAAACCTTTATTTTATTTATTTATATTTTATGGGATGCTGAGGATTGAACCCAGTGCCTCACATGTGCTAGGCCAGTGCTCTACCACTGAACTACAATCCTAGACCCTTGGATCCCCATTTTACAGATGAGAAAACAGACTACGAGGGGAAGCAGCTGGTCCTAAGTCTCACAGCTTGCAAGTGAATTTTAAATCTAGTCAGCTAATTCTAAAATGCAAACTCTTTCTACAGTAGTAGAAAGGAAAGTCCCCTAATCATAGAGGAAAAAAAAAACTAAGTACAAAATGTGTTTTGTTTTTTCAATAAGTGCAATAGAAATTTGGGGTACAACTCATACATTGCTGGTGGGATTGCACATTGGTGCAGTTATTCTATAAAGTCATATGGAGATTCCTTAGAAAACTTGGAATGGAACCACCATTTGACCCTGCTATCCCACTCCTTGGTCTATACCCAAAGGTCTTAAACACAGCATACTACAGTGACACAGCCACATCAATGTTTATAGTAGCTCAATTCACAATAACTAAACTGTGGAACCAACCTAGATACCCTTCAGTAGATGAATGGATAAAGAAAATGTGGTATATATACACAATGGGATATTACTCAGCATTAAAAGATATTAAAATCATGGCATTTGAAAGTAAATGGATGGAGTTGGAGAATATCATGCTAAGCAAAATTAACCAATCCCCAAAAAACAAAGGCCAAATGTTTTCTCTGATATGAGGATGCTGATCCATAATGCGGGGTGGATAGGGAAAAATGGAGGAAATTTGGATTGGGCAGAGGGGAATGGGGAGAGGGTAGTGGGTGTAGGGGTGGGAAGGATGGTGGAATGAGATATGCCCTATGTACATGTATGATTGCATGAATGGTGTGACTCTGCATTGTGCACAGCCAGAGAAATGAGAAGTTGTGCTTCATTTATGTACAGTGAATTGAAATGCATTCTGCTGTCATGTATAACTAATTAGAACAAATAAAAAATTGGGGGTACAAGATAAGACAGTGTGGCCTGATGAGATTGGGGAAAGTAAGTGGAGTTTGAGCAGTTAATACAGGCCCCAGAAAATCCAGTAACATTTGGCTAAGTTTGGTGGGAGGATGGTGGGCAGTGGAGGTTAGCACAAGGAAGCTGGATTAGCCACCAGGGTCCATGGGGCATATTTAGTCAACTAGATCCTAGTAGGTGGACACAAACAGGGGATGAGGGGAAGGAAAGCTGGCAGCCTTCTGTTAAGATAATTAGATATCAAACCAAAAGAAAGCAGGACATACAGGTCGCCACCCTTTGGAGATATCTTAGATTGACCTAATAAATACAATAGAATCTGAGCAGGGCTGTTTGTCAAAATGCGGAGCCTTATTATTATTTTTTTAATTATTTTTATTTTGGTACTGGGAATTTAACCCAGGGGCACTTTACCACTGAGCTACATCCCAGCCCTTTTTATTTTGATGCAGGTTCTCATTAAGTTGCTTAAGGCCTCGCTAAATTGCTGAGGCTGGCCTCAAAATTGTGATCCTCTCAAGTTGCTGGGATTACAGGTGTGCACCACCACGCCTGGCTCAAAATGCTGAGCTTTAGAAAAAGAAAACGAAGTTCACTTAACTGATTGTTTCTGGCCAGGAGGTCTTGGACTGAGGTTAAAGAGTGAGGGCAGAGAACCTGAAAAACAACACTGCTTCAAATCCATCCGGAAATTAGGGAAGTTTCTGAAGTGACAGAGATTAGAGAGACACATGACTTTTCAGGAACCCAGGTGCCGTGTCAAATGAGCCGTAGATGCTTTGAAGCCCAACACTTCAGACTCTCCCATAAGCCCTGGTCTGGTTGACTTGGTAAGCCCCAATTGGGGCAAGGCTCCTCTTCCAAACCAAGGGAACCATGGGACCTGGCTTGAGTGGCCATTCTGAGGTGCTTATATAATTCCATTTTGTGGCCTAAAGGTTATTCCACTGAAATTTCTCAATCCAAGGTTATTTTCTGACCAGAGTGAGCCTGTGCCAGCTAACTGCCAAAGAAAATGGTGAAGACTTAGTGCCTTCTCCTTCTGGCCCCAGAGGGCTGCCAACTCAGCCAGCATTTCTCTGGAACCCCCAAAGGAAAAAGTCTGTCCAGTGTGCCTTTGAAAATCCAGTTTGCCCTTTGTAGTGATCCATTCTTGGAGGGGATCCTGGCAAGGAACTTCCCCCATTGAGCCTTGAATTTTCAAAACAGGGGTCAGCAAACTTTTTCCTATTTCCATAAAATAGGAAAAATAGGAGTTCCTATTTTATGAATCATTTAGGTTCTGTCCCAACTACTCAAGTCTGTTGTCATGTAAAAGCAACACAGACAATACATAAACCAATAGGCATGGCTGTGTTCAACAAATCTTTATTTATCAAGACAGGCAGCAGACCATTGTTTGCCCAATTCTTTCTCAAACGAGGCATCAACAAGTCCTTCAATTCAGCCCTTGAACCCTTACCCGGGACCTGAGAGGAAGACTTACATTGTACAGCAAGGTCTTGAGTTAAGGGAATTTAATAAATTGGTTATGATTGGGCCTTTATGCCAGGATCTGACCATACTCAGACTAACAAAGGGCTTTCAGTGGAGAGGGAAGTCTGGAGTCAGACAAGGATTCAAATTCTGGTACATTTACTCATTTGTGTGACCTCGAAGCCAGTGTCTTGACCTGGATAATTCTGCATTTTCTCTTTAGGCATGATGCTGCTACCAAGTTTGCTTTTCCATAGTCAGGATTGAACACTATAGTGCAAGTAAAGTGCTTGGTGTATAGCCCAGCCCATGGTACCAGCTCTCTAAGTGGAAGCCATTGTTATTTCTGCCAAACCCCACTCTAGTCCTGAGAAGCAGATGGGGCAAATTCTCAGGACAGGGCAAACAGGCTCAGGGAGGTGGAGTTGCTTGTTCAAATGAGCAGAGCGGCTAACTGGTGATTCAAGCTTCAGACCTGGGTCCAGTCTTGCCTTGGGTTAGCCACCCTTCCCTGGCATGGAGTCTGCTTCCCCATACTGAATATGTCTTGGTCACTGGGAACTTGTAGTCTCCTAGACAACACATAAGGCTTCTCCAGGGACATATTAGGCCCACCTCATTCTCCCTTGAGGTAGCTTTTGCTTGGACAGCAGCCCAAGAGGCCTCTCTGGATGTGCTAAGTGCTCATTATTAGTACTGGATCTGGGGACCCTGGTCTGGAACTGTGGAGCCAGGAGTCTGCTCCAGAAGATCTACAAGGGACTAGGGGTACCAGAAACCTGGGTTATAGTCCTGAATATGCTTCTACCAATAGTTTGCTTGGCAACTTGGCAAATTCTTTCCTTGTCCTCTGGACTTCAGCCTCCTCACCTTCCTAGGCCACCTTGGGGAAGTGGATGGGTGTGAAGCACCTAATGATGAATAAGGCTTGTTGTGGTCCCAGAAACAGTGGGGGTCCCTCAGGTTGACCTCTGGAGGGAGTTCAGGGCCTGCCACAGGGGCCGGTGGGGAGTAATTCTAGGAGAAGAAATAGGCATTTGGCAGGAAAATGGGAACTTTAGCCAGTGAGGAAGGCCACTGCTGGGTTATATGGGTCTGCATAAGTTTCCCTTTACCTCAGGGGCTTCTGGAACCTCCATTTCATATTCTTCTACTGTAGAAACCAAAGCCTTTTTGATCTTTGCTGAGGTTTAAAGAATTGGCAGGCAACAGTTGAGCTAGCCCAGTGACATGAAACTCCAAGTTCAGAGCTCTAGATCCTAAACCCCACTTGGCTGTGTGATTCCAGCCAGGTCAGGTCAGTTCATCTTTTGGGGCTCCCAGTTTTTCCTCACCTATTTTCATGGGCCAACCACCTTTGCCCTCTCAAGTCCTAGAAGGTTAGAGCTGATAGGAGCCTGGGAAGGTATTCAGTACCTCAGACACTTTCATTTTTGCAGGTGAAAGAAGTCAGACTTGGGAAGGAAAAGTGATCCACTTAGAGGGGTGTAGCTAGATAATACCACTGAACTTGTATACTGCACTTCTCAGGTGCCAAACACTATTCAATGAACTTTTCCTGTTCTGACTCAGACCCCATCACAACTACATTTTACAGTTGACAAAACTGAGGCACTGAAAGGCTAACTAGTTAGTTTTAAGATCTTCCATGGGGTTT